CCAAAAGTAAAATTGTTATTAATATAGTTGAAGAAATTACTATATGGTGTTGTAGTTGTATATCCCAAATATTGTGGATATTATAGAGGATATAGTTAAGAAGAGTACTGTTGAGAGTAGAATGAAAAAGGTGTGCTTTTTGTTTAGCTATTGTAAAGTATTTGCTTAGAATTTTGTTGCATTTGGATAGGTGATTACAATATTGTAAAGCCAGTATTTAGTAGTTAGAACAATAACAATATTGATACTATAAGTAATTTGTTTGTTAGTTATATTTTTGGTACCTGCAATATTAGCTAGTTGAATAGCCTCATCTTGAATAAGTTTAATTTGTACAAATTGCTTGTTGTTAAGAGTAAACCAACAACCAAGAAATTTAAAGAGCTGATAGAAAGAAATTAATTGCAAATTGAAGTTAAAAAAGTGAGATATTAAAGAAGGGTTGTATAGTTATGAATAAAGATTTAGTAGGATTAACTTGGATATTAGTCATGAAGTAAAAGGAGGAGGCAGTTTGGATGATTTCTTCAAGTTGAGTTTTGGAATTAGTGATCTATAGAGTATTATCCATTTATGGTATGTAAGGATAGATATGAAGATATTAAGATAGTTTGTGAGTTGTAAATAAGGCTAGTTGAGTAGAAAATGGAAAGGATATATCCAGAAAAAGTGTAAAGAGATTTTTAAGATAAAAGAGTCATAATAGATTCTTCAAAAAAGTAGGCTAATAGCTTCTTTTTGGTTGATTATATTTTTAACAGAATAAAAGTTTGTAAGGTCAAAGTTGATAATAACATAATTTGTATAGTCGAATAGAAGGTTGATTAGATTATTCATGAGTACTATATATACATTAGTAGAAAAACCCTATATATTTATCATACTTTATTAATAAAAACATAAGATTACCAATCAGAATTTTGATTTTTAAATTGTTATTAAAAAGCAATAAGAATTTAATTTTTTTAAATTGTTATTAAAAAGCAATAAAAATCTTATATTTTATTATATTGATATCAATTTGTATTATATTACATTTTATATTGATATAATTAAATATTAAAATTGATAATAGAAATAATAATAAATTTCTTTATTATTATTATTTCTATTGTTATTGTTATAATTCATAATGTCTTGATAATTTGGAAAAATATAAGAAGAAGACTGATTAGATAAATCATTTAAAGGCTTGAAAGATCTTGAATATGAAGGCTGAGGAATACGTAATAGTTGCTGAATATTGGAGATATTAGAAAGTTTAAGAACATTTGATAGTTTGCTTAATAGAGTCAATATGCGTATTGGTGGCTCAAATGGTTCAAATAACTTTGATTTGTATGATAACCTTGAATTGTGGGTTTTTGTATAATATAACTTTTTATGTGATTCTCTAAGCAATTGTTTATGCAATTTTTTATATAATTGTTCATGCAATTGTTTATGCAATTGTACTTGTTTATGAGATTGTTTATGCAATTGTACTTGTCCATGTGATTGTTTATGCAATTGTACTTGTTCATATAATAGCTTGTGTGATAGTTCATCTGATGGTTTGTACGATGATTTGTGTGATTGAAAATCTAAAAAATTAATAAACCTTTTTTTTTTAAAAAAAAAAAGCATAATAAAATATATACACCTTTATCATAATCATCTTTCTCATAATTCAGATAATTCTTTTCAGGAAAATATTTAAACTTTTCATAAGAGATATCATCAAAGTCTAAAAAGATTAGTATTGATGTGTTCTGAAGTTTTTGATCATCATTAGGATTGTTGTAAATATAGATTCCTTCATGGCTACAATGTCCAGAAAACTCAATACATTCATCTTCCAGAACATCAAGATCTTTGAGCTGTTGAATCACTGTTTATCATAAAGAATAATTAGATATTTTACAACTATTATCAAGACAAATACTCATAAGACTTGTGATTTTTGTTATTATTGTGTTTAATTTATTAGACCCTATATGGCTAGTTTTGAATCAAATACCCTTTTTTTTATCTAAAATAAAAAACTATATAAACAATAAATAGTATTAGTTAAATATACAAAAAAAAAATTTACTAAATCCTTTTCTGATTATGTAGTCTCTAAAAAAAAAAACTATAAGCATTTTGTAAACATAAAGATATTATGTGCAAGATATCTCGGATAGGCTTGAAATAGTTATTGGCTTGATCTGGTGGAATTGGCATTTTTCATGCTGAACTTTTGCTATATTTGTTTTGCTTTAATGCCCCACACTGATTGTTCTTCTCATAATTAAAAATCAAATAAAGTCTATCATTATTTTGATGTGAGATATCATTAAAAGCAATTCTTTCAGCATTACCACTATGAAGGCTACAAAGAAGAAATAGCTAAAAGAATATACGTCATATCAAGCCTTCATTATTATTAGGTTGCATTATCTTATGATCAAGTATATAAGCAACTTTCTTTGAAATTAATGCTGATACTTGTTAAGTTTCTTCCAAATCTTCTTTCTAAAATTTTTTATTTTACTATTGAGTGTTCTTAGAGTTTTGCTAAAATAGTAAGAATCCCACAAGTTGCATAGTTTAATTACACAATATACTTTCGCTATAGAGACATAACAGTAATGTATGCTTTCTACTTTATAGTTATTTCTATCAAACCTTTTTAACCAGGTAAGAAACCTGCAAAGAAAATCATCTAATTTAGTTAGTTACTCAATATTTTCAAAACTAGTTTCATAATTTGCAGTTTTGTAAAAATGTTCAACTAAGCGTAACTACTTTGTAGTGCACTTATTAGTATTCTCAACACAGAAGAGCCTTTGTAATTCAAGAACCTCATTGTTAATAGATGTAGCATTAATTTTTCTTATTATAAAATGTATATATATATATATAAAATAGAAATATATATTTAAAAGAAAAAAGAGATTAGATCCAACTTTATTTAAATAGTTACTTTAATAAGAAAGTATAATGAAGATATAGGATCCACTGGTGTATACATCATACCTATAGAATAAGCTAGTTATATAATGAATATCTATAGACATGAAGTATTTTATAAGATAATAGTAAAACATGTAGCTTTTGGCTACATGATTTTACTATTATTTTATGAAATACTCTAGATATTTAAGAAAATATTGTATTTGGATTTAGTGTAGTAATTTTTAGAATAATTTAAAGTTTACTAAGTTATATGCTTTATTTATATTCTGAGAGAGAAGCTATCTCTTAAATTGTAATACAGGCAAATTTGCCTGTGTTTTTATTAAAAAGTTTAATTTTTTTAATAAAAACTTAT